AAATAAATAGCTTCAGGTTATAAGGAATGGAATTTTCTAGCATTAAAAATATTTGTATTTATAAAAAATATTATCACTACCTTCCATGTATGTTATGTTAACATTCACCACCTTCAATGTACTCTGTTAAACCCTAGGTAGTTATCTACTGCACCACCTCTTTCAATGATTAACGTATCTGTGCTTTCATCACTGTGAATATCCCTTTTCTCACTGATAAATCCCAGGCTCACAGAATCATACATTTAGAGTGGAAAGGACATTAGAGGCCATCTAGTAAAATGCCTTCATTTTAAAGATAAGGAAACTGAGATTAAGAGAAGTCAAGGGACTTGTCCAAGGTCACAAGACAATAAATGGGACAGGTAGAATTTGAACCTGAATCTTTTTGACTCCAAACCCATTGTTCAATCCACTGTACTTGCCATATAGGTTTATACCTGTATAAGTATCCAATATTCAATGTTGGCCGCTAGATGGTTCAGTGGATAGAACTCCAGGCCTGGACTCAAGAATATGTAAGTTCAATTCTGGTCTCAGACACTTAACTAACTGTGTGACCTTGGGCAAGTCATTTAACCTTTGTTTGCCCTAATCCACTGGAGAAGGAAATGGCAAATCACTCTAGTATCTTTGCCAAAAAAACCCCCATGGACAGTATGGTCCATGGGGTCATGAAGACTTGGACACAACTGAACAACAACACCACCACCACATATTCAAGGAATCCTGGTACTGCCTGCTTTTAGCAAGGAATTCCTTACAAAAAGCTAGGGTAAAAATCAGTATATTTGCTAAACATTCTACTGAACCCACTGTAGTGTAATGGAAAAAGTACTGGGTTTTCAAGTGTGAGGACTGAGATTCAAATTCCACCTATCCCACTTACTACCTATGTGACCTTAGGCAAGTCATCTTTCTCATCTCTGGGCATCAGTTTCCCCATCTGTAAAATGAGTCAGTCAGTTGTACTAGATGACCTCTAAGATTGCTTCCCGCTCTAAATCTATGATCCTATGACCATAGATTTTCCATTTTACTAGCTTCCCAATCTAAATTAAATTAAATTAAAAAGCAAATACAGAAGAATGAGTTTTTAAAAGTAGTCTACCAAGTACTAATTGGTTTCAAAAGTGTTAGTGAATAAACAAGATAGTCACTATACATATGTAATGGCACCAGAGTACACTAGAATGCCTTTGATATTCTCAGCCCTGGTATGAAGAGATGATTTGAATTGTGCAACCAGAATTCTTCTAGGGCATGTTCTCATAGGGAAAGCTCCCTAGCCAGATGCCTGTTCCAACAGGTCTATCTATGCTTGTGAAACTCATAATATGCAGGTAAATGTGAGGGAGAACCACTAACAACCTAACATATTTTTAAAAAAATGTATCCTGGTCCTAGCATATTCCATAAGATATGGATGTGAGGAGAACATGAATTCTAATGGGTAATTCTGAACATAGGTAAATTAAGAAATGGGAATAACTGCAAATGTAATTTCAGTTTTCTCACACCTGTAGACTAACCTATATTACAATCTAAAGTATGCCTGGATTATGGGCTGAGGAACATTCACCATGAGAAGTTACTTTCTTCTTCTGCAGCAATGTGGCCAATAAAAATAAGGGTATACATACAAAGAGGAAAATTTGAGAGAAGCAGAGTACACTGAATTGGGACTCTGGAATTAATGTTGGATCTACCAGTTGTTAGCCTTGAGCATCTGGGCAGGTCAATTAGACTCTTTGGGCCACAAAATTTTAAGGGTTGGGCCTCAGAATTCATTTATTCAAAACTCTACCTAACCAGAAAGCCCCTTTACAACATTCTTAAGAAGCAGACATTCAACCTCTGCTTAAAGTATTCCATGCAAAGGGAAATTCAAGATACACACACACACACACACACACACAGTGTATATCTTGATATATATGCAACTTATCCCAATTTTGGACGGCTCTAATTGTTTAGGAAATTCTTCCTGATAGCAAATGAATCAACTACAATGTATTCAGCACCTACTATGTGCCAGGATCTGGAGATACAAAGTACCTACCTTGAAAGAGTTTAATGAGGGAAGACAACATGCCTATATAGATATAATGTAAACCACATGCAAAGCAGATACAGTTGAAATCTGCCCTTTGTAGCTTCCCATCTCATAAGATCAAGTCTAATCCCTCCTTTATTGCCAATCCTTTAAATATCTGAAGACAACCATTATGTCCCCAACTGAGACTTCTCTCCTCTAGTCTCTTTGTTACACATTCAAACAATCCTGGCTGCTTTCCTCTAAACATACTTCAGACTGTCCATAATCCCTAAGGATTTCCAATTGATTTTTGATTTGCTCAGTAGACTATCTTACGCTACATGAAATAATTTAGGTGAAGTTTGCCTGAAGGCATTGTCAAAAGTCTTCAGTCCTCAAATTCTATAATCCTTTAATGTATCTGAATATTTTAAAATTATATATAATCCCTTATTTTATTTGGGTATTTTTGGAATAACCTGTTTTGTTTTTGTCCTCACAACCCCACAGTTTATTATAGTGTTTTGCTACCTAAAAGGCACTGAAAGTCATGATGAATGAAAACTTCTTAAGAATAAGCACTTCATATATTATGTACAATGTCTAGCCCCCATGAGAACATAGCAAATAATCTGTGGGAGCCAGATTACTATCATTACCAACAGCTGATATATGACTACATGCCAGATATACCCTACCCAGGGGCATCTCACAACAATGGTACCCAGCAGATGGTTAGCTTCACTGTTTGTATCCGCTGAAGTAAAAAGAGATAATGGTTAGTTCCCTTGCTTAGGGGAAAGGGGTAAGAATATGAGAAATTATTCCAAGGCATTACATAAAAGGAAAAAGCAGGTTTAAATCCCTCTTAATTCCAATTTATTTGGTGGGGGAGACGGGAATCCCATGATTTCATTTTAATTTTGAATATGTATTTTCTTTACACAAAACCAAACTCATTAATAGTCTAGGGGGCAGCTAGGTGGCACAGTGGATAGAATACTGGCTATAGAGTCAGGAGGACTCAGACCAGACATTTGATACTTACTAGCTGTGTGACCCTGGGAAAGTCACTTAATCCCAATTGCCTCACTGCTCTCCACCACTCCCCCCAAATCCAAAAAACAGTCTGGGAAACAAGTATCCTAAGAACAATGACTAGGACCAAAGGATCATAGCTTTAGAACTAAAAGGTTATCTGAGAGGTCATCTATTTCAACCCCTCATTTTACAGAAGGGGAAACGCTATCAAAAAGGTTAAGAGAGTTTCTCAAGGTCCCATGTAGAAAGACTTGGCGTCTAACTCCAAATTCATGGTTCTTTCTACTGTACTCACCTAACTCATGTTCTTTTGGTTCTCCTGTAACTCAAACTGACTGGCATTCTCCAGATTAGACTGCCTACAGGTCACTTGTGCCTCATCACAATTTAGTTATATCACCACAGGTAGATATTGTGTGTGTGTAGATGTATACACATATAAGTTTAAAACTAATATAAAATAGGTAAAATTTTTCATTGTCTAGACAACTGTTACTCTTTTCTTGAAAAAAAGTCATAGAAATACTACTTAAGGCATGAACATGATGAAATAAAAATGCTGAAAAAGAAATCTAGATCACAAGTGATTTGATTAAGGATTGAAAGAACTGCTACTATGATCTTCATGTGTTCTGTTTCACATGTTAGGCAATTTCTAATGTAAATATTAATGTGGCAGACAACTGCAGTACTATGACAGAATATGTCTTGTCTTTTAAAGATAAAGCCTAAAGAAGTTCCCCTAAATCAGTTTAAATTTGAACTTAAATATCAATTTATCTAAATAGCTATTGTCTTCCAAAGGACTCATGATGAAAAATGCTACCCACCTCCAGAGGAAGAGAATTGATGAACTCTGAGTGCAAATTGAAGTATAATTTTTTCCACTTTCTCTATTTTTCTTGCTTTTTTTCTTTTGGCCACATGGCTAATATGGAAATATGTTCTGCATGACTTCACATGTATAACTGATATCATATTGTTTGTCTTCTGAATGGGTGGGGGAAGGGCTAGAGGGAGAGAATTTGGAACTTGAAAATTTTTTTTAAAAGCCAAAAATAAATAAATAATAATTTTAAAAATTTGACAAAAAGTTAATAGATAATAAAACAAATATACAGTTAACTACCTAAAATTTAAAAGTATATAAAGTTAGCGAAACACAGGAAAATGAGGTCATGTTCTTACTCTAATCTGCTAGCAAAAGAAAGTTATTCCTGCCTTGAAAAATGTGAGGATTCACACCATATTCAGTTTTTTTCTATTCCTTCAAAACTTTCCTTTAGTTAGACCCATCATTGCTTTTGTTCCAGTGCTCAGTCAACTTTTACTATGTATCTGATTGTGAATGTATCTGTAAATAACTGAAAAAATATCATCTAATCAAAATGTTGTACAGCAATACAGTTTTCCAGATATCAAAGGAACAACTTTAGCAAACTTTTGCTAGAATGAAAATATTATGGTCTATACATAGATTTTATGGTTTCTATAACGCAGAAAATATAAAACTGTTCAATCCACAGGGAATATGATAAAGTATTAATGATTACAAAAGCTCTTTTTAAAAAGACATCAGTAGTAATATAGTTATGAACAAACACTACTGATATTAACATGTTGGTACCTGCTACACTCATTTTAGCTGATGCTCCTATTTCTCTTCAGAGAGAACAGTTTCAAAGACTAGAAGTTGGAGTCACCTTTAATACACTGTACGTTTTTTATACTTTGGAAATATTCATTTTTCCTTTAAAGGAAAAGCTTATATGTGAAGTAAAAATCACAAAATTAAGAATAATTCATAAAAAGTCAAGAAAAAGGGTGCAAACAGTTCTGCGTTGATCTCTAATTGTTAAAATGAGAAGCCAAGAAGTCAGAGGTAAAAAGTATATTAGGTTAAAACGAACACTACCATCAATTAATTTGTAGAATACAGTTTTATTGCTGATATTGTAAGGTCATTTAAATACTTGTGTTTTAAACAAAGCCAATGTAAACCACAGGCCTTATTATAAGAATTTGCTAAGGAGTTCTGTCCATTTTTTGCTGTGGCAAAAGTAATACTGTAGGGAAATAAACCTAATAATTTCAGGATACATTTTAACAGAACATCATTACACTTCCTCTTTTGCATGCATGTGCACATGCAAACACACCCTTTTACTCAAGGTAAATGTGAACCAGAATGGCCAAGATCTATTTTAAAATCAATTCCTACTTCGGATAACCATTTAACAATATTCAATTTGTAGAGTCATCAAAATAACTGCAAAATCATGTTGTCATTTAAGCGACAGAGCTGGCCAGGAAAGAAAAAGGTTAATTTGCTTTTTTTTTGCCTCCTCTGCCAAGAACTAGGGCTACAATCTTTACTTCTTTGCTTCTGCTTGTTCCGAAAGATGAAAATTTCTATAACTTTCAGTCTAGATTCAGCTAGAAAAAACTTTCCTCCCCTCCTCCCCAAGAAAGCTTGTGGAAATGGCAACATTTTGCTTAAATTACAAAGGAAGAATAATGGTAAGATTAATATTTGAGTGTAAAAGTAAACTGCTGTCATGAGGTTCTTGTAAAATTATTCAGCAATAACCAGAAAGGACTAAATCAGCCTAATCTTTTAGAGCTAAAATTACAAGATATCTTGGATTGGTCCCTCTTTCCAAAGCATGATAATATGATGGTTATCACCAGCAGGAATTCATCTAAAAACTGATTCCCAACTCTATACCGTTACTTATCTCAACTGATTTGCTTAATATTGATACCTAAACTTTTCAAATAATGAATAATAACCTTCCTACTGATTCAGAAAATTATTTCTGATGTTTGAAGAAAAGTCAATACATTAAAATGGAAAGGCTGCCTCCAAATATTTCTAATTAAAAAGAAAATCCCCAAAAGACTAATGTTTCTTCTCCAAATATCAAAACAATAGCTATGTGATATCTTTCTGCTAGTGGTTTTTTACCTCAGTATTTAGAAACTGTTAGAGAAAATGGATTCCTATACTGCGAGTGGTTTCAAAGTATTCCTCAATCCATTCTTTTTCATACTCTTCCTGTTTCTCTCCCAGAAGATATGCAGGCAATTCATGTTAAAAAAAAAATAAACTTCTCACCTTCAATTTTTTTCAGTCCAAAAAAAAAAAGGGGGGGTGTGTGAAATACTATCTCACATAAATCTCTGGATTATATTTAGATCAAACTGAGACAGAAACAGAAAACATACCAACAAAGGCAGCCCTCATTTTAGAGATGGTTTATGTACTTTATGTGAAAAGCAAACAACAGAAAGATAAATGTAGCAATAACCTATACGAAATTAATGTTACTTCAATTGACCTCTCCAACAGTACAAAAACTTACATAGCACAAAACCCACCTGGCTTTAGTGAAAAACAAAAACAAAGAAAGGGAATAATATCTTTGTTCCAGACTATGGCAGTTTAGCTCCTTTGGTCTCACACATCTCTGTGGAATACTAAATTTACTTCCTTGTATAATAGGTCCCAAAAGGCATGTGAAATCCTTAAAGGAAAAAGTCCAAATGCCTCATTTCCTACAAGGAGAAAACACAAATATGATACTGAATTCTAGAAATGTTTTAGATAATATTTCAGAGTTTATAATGATTTCTACAATCAAGGTGAGGGAATGAAATATTGAAAAAACTAAGAATCACAAAGTAGGTGTCTGAGGTCTGATCAGCAGGGGGAGGAAAGAAAACAAGAGAAATGAAGTAGCAGAAAGCTGACTAGAAGCTAGACTTTTACATAGCACGTTCATACAGAGAACGGAAGGCAGTTCCTGCTTACATTAGGGCTCTGGAAGAAACTAACTATGGATCAGGCTGAGAAAGGAAGCAAGTGGGAGCCACCAACTCAAAAGTTAGAGCCACAAGAGTAACAAAGACTTAAGGATTTTGATTCTGTCAAGTACAGAAGGCAAAGAGGATTCTACATTGATCTGTAGAGAATGTGCTATCTAGTTTAATTTCTCCAGTGACAAGTAGCAGCAGTAAAGTGTACAATAAATTACTTGGCCTTCCTACTACAGAGGTGAATGGGCTGAAGAACCCTCTCTACTCCAAACTACCAGGGAAAGTGAAGTGTTGCTTGAATGAGAAGAAATGGTTAAAAGGGAAAACCAAGACAAAAAAAAATCTACAGAGGTACAGAAGAATTCTAAGCTGTACAGGAAGGCCAAATAATGGAAGAACATGAAATGAAAAAAGAACCACTACACTTTTGGCACTAGGGATAGGTATGAAACTTTTCCAAAGGAAGATAAGGGTAAACTACAGGTGTTCTCAGGCAGGAACAGCATCCTGTATGCCACGGAAAGATCCCCAGTATCTAGAAATGTTTTGAACATAGTAGGCACTTAATATTTGTTGAATGATTATGAGTTTTCACAAGTGCCACCAGGAAATAGTTCATATTCTAGTCAAAGGAAGAAGTGAAATGGGGTGGGGGTGGGGGGTAGGGAGAGGTGTGCTAGGACAGTCATTTGTAGACCTGGTGCAAAAAAAGAGATTAGTATGCCATTTTCCATGGGGAAATGCCAGGAATTCAAATTTGGAATTTGATATAAAAATCTCACAATATTTGTCAAAAATGGTAATTGCTATGCACTACTGACAATTCATATGGAGATAAAGCATACCACACCAAAAGAAGTCTAGAAAATGTTGCTGGATAATCAAGTTTTGTGCAAGAAACTGAACAACTTACGGACATAAGTGTTATTTTCATTACCACTACCAACTGAAAATACAGACTTCAAAAGAAAAAGGTGAATTTGGGAATGTGAACAATTGCTTAAGAAGATGGTATCTGATTAACATAATTTGGGTTCTAGAACCTGGCTTTATGAAAATGATTAGTTCTTTACCAAGGAAAAAATGGATACAAATATGGCTGGAAAAAAATAAATTTTCTTGAAGACCTGCAAATGTGATCAAGAAAACTTTCAACTGAAAATGAAAGGTGAAGGAAAAAACCAATCATATCTCTATTTGAAATCAGATAGTACAGCAAATAGCAATTATGACACAGGAAGAAAATCAGTAGAAAAAGAATAAAAGTAATAAAATTCATAGCCTTGGATAGCTATATTCAAATGTTGTGAAGTATGGGTGATAAGGTAAACTAGATATCTTAATGCCAAGAGTAAAATCTGACCTCGAAAAGTATCACAGAGTCCATTAGATGTGTGCCATCACCAGTATATCATATTCAAAATAATAACTCCCATTTATATATTACTTAAAGGTTTGTAAAGTGCTGTACATGCATTATTTCATTTAATCTTCGATTAGCCCCATTTTACAGCTAAGGAAACTAAAACAGCTAACAAGTATGTAAGGCAGTACAGAACTAACAAGTATCTGATGATGTGCCCGTACTTCTTGACTCCAAGTCCAGCACTCTGTTAAGGAGGTGATGACACAGAAATGTATACTAGTATGTACTCATGTAAAGAAATCCATGAACCAAAGTGGGGACTTTTGGTAAGAAACACTCGGGAAAAGATTCAATAAGATAATATTTAATAGAGATTTTAAAAAAAGTTAGGTTCATCAAACTACCACACAAGTACAAAATGGGGAAGGTATAGCTAAATTAATTTATGTGGAAAATATCTAAAGGTTTTAGTGGACTTCATGCTGAGTCACTAATGTAATAGCAGCCAGAAAATGTAACAGTCTTAGGCTGCATTAAGAGAGGCACAGTACTTACAACAAAGGGGGTACCTAACAGTGCCACTGCATTTTCCACTGATGACAGCATACCAATAACTCAACAAGCATTTATTAAGCACTTACTATGTATGTGCTAGCAACTATGCTAAGCTCTGGAAATACAAAGATTAAAGTAAAACAGTCCCTGTGTTTAAGGAGTTTGCATTCTGAAGAGGGAGACTAGTACACATATATAGAACAAACACACACACACACACACACACACACACACACACACACACACACACTGACTCAATCCACTTTAGTTTGGGTTGGGGATGTACTGGCAGCTGGAGGATCCTAGAAAGCTAGAAAGGCTTTATGAAGAAGACAGCAATGGAGCGAAGTCTTGCAGAAAACCAAGTTTTCTAAAGCCCAGAGGTGAGGAAGGAGTGGATTACAGGCAGGAGAGGGGGACAGGGGGGCATAGCTAGCGTGAAGGTACAAAGACTGGAGACAGAACAGGGCATGAGTGCAACAACGGGTTGGTACGGAGTGTGAGGACAGAAGTAATACCTTAGTAAACTGGAAAGGGAGGGGGCCATGTTATGAAGATAAACATTAGAGTTCATATTACATGCATGAGCTAATAGGGAGTCACTGGAGTTTGAGCAGGGGAAAGAAGTTGACATGATCAGACCTGCACTTTAAGAAAACCACTCTGTCAGATGTGTGGAGGATGGACTGGAGTGGGCAAAGGCTTAAGTCACAGAGACCAAATGGAGGGCTATTGTAGTAGTATAGGCAAGATGTGATGAGGATCTGAACAAGGTTGGGTTGTTGTGTGAGTGGAGAGGAAGGGAAGTATGTGAGAGATGTTGTAGAGAAAGAAACAATAGGACTTGGCAATTTACTGGGTATGTAGTGTGAAGAAGAGTGAGGATATTAAGAATGACACTCAGCAAACCTGGGTGACTGAAGGATGGCAGGGCCCTTGATAGTAACAGAGAAGTTCGGAAGAGGAGTGGGTTTGGGAGACGGTGGGGGGCAAGAAAGATAATTCTGCTTCGGACTTATTAAGTTGAGGTGTTTATGGGACATCCAGTTTGAAATGTCAGTTCTGGATGCCACATTTTAGCAAAGACATCGACAAAGTTGGGCATTTCCAAAGATGGGAGGATAATATAGTAAAGGATTATAGACCTTGTTCAGCTAAAGGAACTGGGAAAAAAATATTTGGGGGAGGATAGTGTACAAACAACTGTCTATGTATTTCAAAAACTGTCAAGTACATGAAGGCTGTGACTTTTACTTGGCTCCAGAAACAGCGGACAGAAAAGTATAAGGAGGCAGCTTTTGGCTTGATATAAAGAAAAAAAAATTATAGCAGAAGTGATTGCTGAGTTACCAGTCACCTCTGCAGACCCTGGAAGTAGTATAAACTGGAGATCAGCAAATGTCCTTGTTTCTCAGCTTTGATTCCCTGTGAAATTTGAGAAAATTACTTTGAGTTGTCATATAGAAAAGATCCTACAGGGCAGAGCTAAGAACAATGGGTAAAAGTGACCCAGAGACAGATTTATGTTTGATAGAAGTAAAAAACTTTGCCATGATTAGAACTATTTAAAAGTAGAGGGCCTCTAAGGTAGTATTTTTTAAGGCGAAGTAAATACAGCCACTTCTCAGGGCTACTATAGAATCCATTTCTGTTCTACAATTTGTGTTAGATTGTCTTCGAGGCCTCCCTCCCTTCAGCACTCAAATCTGAGTTTCTGTGACTCATTTCCAGGGCAGAAGGTAGATGTTGATTAATATTCCCTTTCCAAGTTACAGCAAAAGGGAAACAGGATGCCAACTTCAAACCCCCAACATGCACCGTCCTTTCTGTAAGTACCAACTTCACTGTTATGCTAAGATTACACTGCAGTGATACGGACAGAGGCTGATTATATGGCAGAACCTGATGTGAAACAAAATTCTTGAATCAACAATGTAGCATACAGGATGGCAAACTTAATAAGGTAGTCTAATCTTAAATGAGGATGCTACTAACGGTTTCCTACTTGTGGAGGTTGGTCTATGGCTTAGCTTGCAGAGTTGATTTGTAATGATCTCAAGTCAGGTTCCAGTCATAATAATGACCTACTATATTCACGTTAGAGGAATACAGTGCTGTTACTAAACAACCAAAAAGGCAGTGGCACATCATATGAATATTAAAAGTCTGGAGATGTTTTCTTCACTCTAAAATCATTAGGTATCAGACTTCTTCAGACTATGCTAAAAGAAAAGAAAGGCATTATAACAATGCTCAAACTAGCCTGAAATGTAATTTGGTAGAGGAAAAAGAATAGGAAATCCCAGACAGCAGATGTTCAGCAAAACTATTTCTAGCTGAAGTGACCCACAAGGCAAAAAACCCTATGTTGAAAGACTGAGACTGCTGTATTTATATGAAATGGATCATACTAGTTGAGTCAGCTGCTTAAGTTGTAATTATTATTTTTTAACTGACAGTGGCATCTGATATTATCATGACTTTAAATAAGAAGAAAGCAACTGGGTTTGGAAGGATAAGACTTTAATGCAGCAGTGTCAGATTTTAGTGAAAACTGTTTCTTCTTCTTCCATTTGTAGCTCCTAGATTGATTTAAGTATCTAAGCAAATAGCTAAGAAGGCTGATAATGTGACTTATGCTTAGAGAGCATAATAATTTAATCTTTATTTCTGTAGCATATTATTTGTTTTCTCAATAGCTTTCTAAATGTAAGAAAATTCTAAGGTCAGTAGTAAGATTATTATTTTAACAACAAAATATTCAGTTACAAATTAAACAGCAGTTCTTTACAGAACTTAGCAGAAATGAACATCTAGGCTAACTTCTTAGTAGTCTCCAATGTTTGGCTGCAAAAATTTATCACCTCCCCCCCAAAGGAAATATAGGTAGCACATATGCAAACTATCATATAACCCAGGCCTCTCTACAATTTCTGCTTTGTAAACAGGGTACTGCTAACATTAGGCCACTTTTTTCTTAAAGCCATGCCATTAAAATCCCTGCCTTTTAACTTTTCATGCCATTCTAATCATGATCAACTCTTCATAACACAACCTACCCAAATGAACATGATAACCCCAAATCACATCTTTAAATTTCTAGTCCCAATGACTTGCTAAGCTGCAAAATTAAGAAGAGAATCTGAAAAGGTGAAAGTGTCTCTTTGGTCCCCAATGGGGAGGGACCTCATCTAGCCCTTAAATTCCATATAAGATATAGCCACTCTGCTAACACTGCTACTGTTCAACGAATGGGCAACAAACATGCAATTGTCCTAATCTAGGTCAAACCATGTTTGAACTGTTTACAATTACCAGAATACTTTGTAAACACTTTCTTTGGCTCCTTCTGGAATTCAACACTGTTCTGATTAAAATTATTGTAGCTGAGCAGAACTTAACACCACCAGAAGTATTTAATTATACTTGTTTATCTAATACCTTTCTTTCAGCAATCTAAAAGCCACTTACAAACACTAGTCAAATTTCAAAGTCTGAGAGGTAGGTACTGAAATAAAAACACAAGAGGCAAAAACAAAAAAACAGGAGTTTGGGCTACTCAACAGTTTTCACTTAGAAGATCTTCAGGCTGCCTATACAGCTTAAAGTGTTTAAAGTAGAGTGGCATGCATTCCCATCCAAAAAGTCTGAGCTCAGGTACAAAGGCTCTTTATCTTTCTTCCTTTTGTTGTGGGTGGGAGGTGGGGGTAAATTATATATATTTTTTATGTATATTGTCTAACAGACAGCATACACTATCTTATTTTTACTTAAGATCAACTAAACAATATCTATTCAAACATGAAAATAAAATTTAAAAAACTTTGTTCCAAAGCAAGGATCAACACGGCAGTTGTATTAATAAAAGTAGTATTCATAAAATGCTGTCTTTGATATCCAAAGACACTACTGACTCAGCAGAACATATATTTTCAAATTATTTTTCCAGTAATGACTGCTTTATGCTGGGCTATCCACAACTGGTTCCCCTTGCCAACAAGGGCACAAATTTGGAAGATTGGCTGGGGGCACTCAATACAGTTATCCTTCTATTAAGCTAACTAGCCTAAAAAGAATCAAACCCCTATTGTCTAAGCCTCATCAGTACTGCATTCCAATCAACTGACTAGCTAGCTCTGACTATCTATTCAATCAAAACAGTAATTACTAGTGTAATAAATGAGAAATAAGGGAAATTAATATTTTCTTATCTCAAATGTGTAGATTAATAAATAAATGCTTACCACCTTCTCACCTCTTGGGTAAAAATAATTCCTTTTAAGATCACAGAATCAGAGTAATGTGGAACATTTTAAGTTAAAGACTCAACAAAGCAATGATCACAACAGGTTTTCTACTGTGTGTGACATAACTGTATAATAAAAGCATCCAGAATCAGTGAAAGCTACCCTTTTAAAGCAAGAAAGATGTACATTCAGTATTCACATCAGTAGTCACTGACTGGGCAAATGCTATAGATTTACATTCATGCCCAGGAGGGGGCATTTCAGGGAAAACCGATTCCCAAAAATATCTGGCCAGATCCCTACCAGCTTGTTCTAAGTGAGTTGGTGGTATATAAACTTTCCTATCCCTACCTAGTGGTAATATAAAGTGTATTGACAAAAGTCATGGAATTTTAACACATACCACTGTTTAATCATACCAAAACTGGGTTTGTACACACCAAGAGTATATATGAACCCCATTTCAAAGCAACCATTAGAGGAGGTAGTGTATCAACTATTTGGATGGAGAACATAAGGTCAACTCTAGCTGTAAACATTTCTAAAGCATTAGACACTACTATCCAAAACACAAGTGATGAGAAAGAATTTAGAACGTGTATAACATTATATGAATTATAAAAAGCAAAAAAAAAAGAGAGAAACATTTAATATATTTACTCAAATAAAAGAAGTTTAAATGATTCAGAACTGAAAAATAATAGATATCCAATATAATTTTTAAAAAGTGAATATAAATTAGCTAACTTCAAGGACATTTCCAGTTAAACATTCATCCAATTAATATTCAGCTTTTTATATTCACAAACACACACAGACACACTCTCTCACACACACTCTGATATTCTGGCAAAAATCAGAGAAATATCCTCAAGTTTTTCAAATTGTGTGAAATAGGTTCCAAAATCAATATTCTACATGACTGTAAAACCCCTGATTTCATGCCTGTACGCATGGCTGCTTTAAAAGATATAAGTAACATAATATATTGGCTTTTTCAAACATACTAATAATTAAGGCATCTTGCTTTACAGAGTATCTCAGTGTGAAAAAATTATCCATTATTTGCTACATTGTTTTAAACATCTTTAAAGTCTTTTCAATATGATCACAAAGTAGCTGTACACATTTAGTGGTTTGTTGGTTTTTTTTTTAGAAAACACAATCTTAAAAAAATATTAATGGTGATTGGTCTTTGTGGTTCCCAGCAAAATGTCTTGCCCATTTTATCTTTTCACGTAGTATAAATTACATTTTTATGCAATATGAAGGACTGCAATAAGACACAGAAGCACTAAACAACTTTTCCCCTAATAACCATACAAATCCCAAACGCAGCAAAGGCGTACAATTTTCATAGTGCACTTTCACCTCATTGAAGTCAAAGATGCTCCTTGTGGATATTTTTCCACTTCAATGTGAAGTAGATTGTTAGGATTTCATTAGTGGTTTCATTACATGGCATTTTTGGAAGATTCCACTTCCCTCCTTGGTTCATAGTTCTCAGAAGAGACCTCTTTCTGGAAGCTACAAAGTCCAGGAATATTCTGAATAAGGAAGTCCTCTTCAGGTGGTGATACTTCTCAATGTAATTGTAATAAATAAGCATCTACATCCTTGGAGAATAAAATAAAAACAGACTATTAGCCAACACTTAGAAAAATAGGCTATTAGCCAATACTTAGCTCCACACTCCTGTGTATATACACACATCCCCTCATTTAACTCAAGTGCTTACTTCTGATTAACAATTCAATAAATTTTCTGCTTAACTAACAAACATTACAGCAACTCTTTGTGCTTCATCTTTATTACTGAAAATCATTCAAAATGCATTGTGCAAAATACAAATAAATTTTTCTGCTAATTCAGGATATCACAGTGCTTGCTGCAAGATTACAATTCTGAATATCAATTACCATAGTACAAAGCTATACAAATCAAGATGTAGAAAGCATAAGAGACAGGCTAAAATGATTTGTCCCTAGGAAATATGAAAGTAATTTCTATGAAACCTTGAGTTCTTTGTCTCATTAAAGTAAAATAAAAATGTCAACTGCATGGTCTCTCTATTCCCACCTCATCACTTCTTTCTGTCCCAGACACTTCTTCTGTGCTCTCTTAATGCTCCTCTCCTTCCTTTCCCCCTTGCCTCTCTCCATATGCCTTGGTCTCCTCTACTTTCTATTCTCCATTTCTCACAGACTTTTTGTAGCCTCTTAGGTTATTTGGCCAACCCATTATGATATTTTCTTGAGCTCTGTTTCAAGTTTTCCACTCTCAAAAAACAAAAGTTATAGCTATTTTAGGTTTTCAATTATTTAGGTAATCTCTAGTTTTCCTATAAGGAAACTTGGGAATCGTATGCATAACTTCAAAACAAAATTAGTTATTACCTTCAATAATAAAAGTTCCCAGCCAAACTAAAAATAAAACTTCTCTTATTTTTATAGATGTCCTATGAAGTCTGTTGCCCATAAATTTTCTAAAATGTAACACAACATAAATACACATTCTAAATGACAGCATATAACTTTCTAACATCTACACCTCACCACAATAACTGAGAAAACATTTTGAACAGGTTTTTTTCCCAATATTTTTATTACAAAAAGTCTATATAGAATATACTGCTTGAATTGTTTCAATACACACTAAATCATTTTAATTTTCTTGAAGACATCTGAGAAGTCCTAACAGGAAGATTTTTTTGTTAAAATTTAGGGTGACCTCGTTCCCAGCTAATGTACTCTGATATTGGGCAAATTTTTAAAAAGTGGCAATATTGCCAATAACAAGGTACTTTTAAGTATTTTCTTTAGGGAAGGCAAACTTTTTCATAAATAAATATGTTTCTAGAGTTCAAAAAATGTGTTATCCCAAACTGTGGCTTATGTTTTCCTTTAAGAACCTGGAAAAATCACTGTTAAATATAAATTCTGATGATAAACTCATTTTATGGTTTTAATGGATATTTTTCTCAGGAGGCACAAAAAAGGCACTTGGAAAATTAGAGGTTTGTCACTGTAGGGCTTGTTAAACTGTAACTACTGAAATTCATTACTTAGTGTCTAGTTTGTGGTTTCTGTGACCTTTATCGAGACATATTTGCATCTTAGAATTTCATAACTGAAAATGCCATCTCCCCTCTGGGGAAATATAAATAAATCGATATTGCTTGTCATAGAATATACACAAGGATACTAAATTTATACATATTTGCATTAATAATCAAGGCTTCTTTTTCTCATTAGGATCTTTGTATATTGGGAGGGTATTCCTCCTTTGCCACAGAATTTGTGCTATCATTTCAGATGTAGAATTCCCCCCCAAAAAATAATAAGCACCTATGTAAAGCCTTTGATTCTCACTTAAGAAAATGGCCTAAGGCCATCTTCCTAGCACTTTCCCTGAGCTCTCTGGGAAGATTCATAACCATATCTACTGGCTAGTATCCTGGTTTCTTGCTTTCTTTTGTTTTTACTGCTAAAACCACCCTGGAAGTTCTCTTTCCCCTATTTAACTTCAAAATTAAGTGTTCAACCAGGCCCAAATGACCACAAAGAACCTGGCACATAGATAAGGTCCTCCATATCCCCATTAGCTAAGACTGAGAAAAACAAGAAACATTCTATTCTCACATTCCCTTCAACTTACTATTATATTCAAAGTCACAACTCATATATCCGGAAGTAAAGGTAAGCAAATAACATTTTGCTATGAACCAATCATCATCTTGCAACTCTGGAAAAGGAGCGAGTATCTAATACATTTCAGAAATTTGACTTTTCTTATACAAAAAGAGAAGGCTGGGAAGGCTAGGTGGCGCAGTGGATACAGCAGCGGCCCTGGATTCAGGAGGACCCAAGTTCAAATCCAGCCTCAGACACATAACACTTACTAGCTTTGTGACCTTGGGCAAGTCACTTAACCCCACTGCCTAGCCAAAAAACCTGCAACCGACCAACAAACCAACCAAACAAAAAAAAAAAAAGAGAGAGAGAGAGAGAAGGTAGGGGGATCATCTTTATAACTGACATACCAGCATCTTCATCTGGGGAAATGTCCTACTAGCACTCTAATGTGGATTTAAGTTTGTAGACTTATAGCATTCCACTCCCTTATCCAGATAGCTGAATCAGTAAATAATTAATAAATCTCTTTTGGACACAATTATTGTGTATGGATTTCTCTACTGCAGATGCTGAGTTAACACATAATCCTTCATTTGGAGAGGCATCTGTCACTAAATAAAAGAATTAAATGGGTATGAGAAACCGATCAAGCTTCCTTCTCATTTTTAAAACTCCTCAAACTCAGACAGTCCTCATTCAAGTGTGACAGTGAGTGGCTCTACTTTAAGTGTCCAGAACTGTTCTACTATGAGTCCACCCTCTCTTTCTGGCTTCCTAAAGTACCACTGTCCACTCTCATGAATCTCTTTAAATGCTTTCTCTAATACTTATGACAATCACACCAGGATAACATACCCCCTTAAGATGACTGTTTTCTGAAATGCATCTGAAAGACATCCAATGGGCAGTCCCTTTGCTCCCGGCCTAGCAACAGAATGCTATACCTACACCCAGAGCATTCTGGCACTTCAGGAGGTATACTTGCTTTCAGGACTCTATGATATCATTTACCTATCTAGCTAAGTAATTTAATGACTTGTTCTTTAGTAGTTCTAGTTGTACGAATCTATCAGGCTAAATTAATAGAGATTCTGAACATCTAAAGTCAAACATTTGATGTACCTTTGATTATATACATACCTTAGCTATATTACCAGTGTATCCTGGAACCAATGTAAGATGGTTTTCTTGTTTCCACAATCCACTTAATTGTTGTTTTAAAATATGAACATTTCTTAATTAAAAAAAAGAAATTAAGCAAAAATTTATTCATGACTGTTACACATCTAGTCCAGAGTAATATACATACATCCAGAGAAAGATGACTGAATAAATTTTAATATTTAAGAATTCATCCTGAGGCAAAATGATATTGTAACTCAAATGGATTATTTATAGTCATATGTGTCAGTTATTCATGGTGATTATAAGTTGCTCCATTACCATAAGTGTTTGAAAATAGTGCCTATGCAATACGGGGAACAGCTGATTCTGGTAGTCTTCTAATTCCTTAGGAGAAACTCAGTAGCTACTTAAGATTATCTGTCTCAGTCAATAGAATAATCTACATATTTCCAAAACTACAGAAATATATGCTGAACTCTCAATAGGCTGGTCCCATATGATGCCCTCACTCTCACCCCAAATACCTGCAACTCCAGAAATGCCTGATTATAATGGGTAAGATGACACAGCATTGCTATCCCTGTCTTTTCTGCAAAATGGGGTAAATTCCAGGAAAAGGGAGAGTAATAGATTCTGAAATTCTACATGTATTCTAATGTATATTCTATATTCTAGTATATTCTAATATAAAAATCTTCAGCACTCATTTAAATAAATCAGATCTGCTAAAAATTAAGTTTCTAAGCCACTATCTAAGAATTTTATCATGAAGACATCATCATAGTAGCCTAATAACAGCAACTTACATTTATGTTATTTTAAGATTTACATAAACTTTTTCATTTGATCCCCACAAAAGAGATAATGCAAATATTGTTATTCCATTTTAGAGATGAAAAAACACTGGGAGAATATTTCTCTGAGCCCCAGTCACACAGGTAGTAAGCAACAGAGATGAAATTTGAACTCACATCTTCTAGTTCCAAATTTTCTGCATGCACTATGTTGTCTTCAAAGTTTTTTCTATAATTTTATAACGAGTATAACATTTCCTTAAATCCTCCCTATTTAGAAAGGGAGTGAATGACATTGTGTTTATGATCATATATACAAGCAGCCACCTCACCTGGGAGGTGCCTCTGCTCCTGCACCCTCTCCTCTGATTGGTGAATCACTGATAGAACCACCATTTCATGAATTGCCCAGGCCATCAATGCTCACTTCTCTCCTGGCTCCATTCCTGACTCTCTGGACTTTTCTACCCACTCACCAGTAGCCTTCTCACCTTCTTGAAGATATCTTTGCTTTTGAACCACTTCCTGATTGGCAAGTCCCTAGCTAGAAACACAATTTCATGAAGTGCCTAGACCATTCATGCTCACAGCTCTTCCAGTTCTACTCCTGGATCTCTTCACTTTTCCCTCTCCTTACCAGAAGCCTTGTTCCCATGAAGATACCCTTACTCTTCCAACGCCACCCTTGCTCCCTTTCCGGCTCCCTTTTATAAACTGTCTTCCCTCATTAGAAAGTAGAATAATTTCCTGGAGTGCAGGGACCATCTTATTTTCTTATATTTGTATTCTTAGTGCTTAGTACAGTGTTTGACACATAGTAAGAGCTTAATAAATTTTTTCTTGCTTGCTTGCTATTTATCTGTTTGATGCTATCCTAACAACAGAATTTTTGGTAGCATAGCAGGGTATTTGCGAAGTATAGAAATTCATTATAATACTTACCCATCTTTTGCAATTTCTGTATTAGCAGATAGTTCTGACCACCATCTTTTTATGACTGCTTGAATCCAGTTCAAACCAACTATCACATATCTGAAATAATATTTTGTGTAAAAATCATGCTTTCCTTCCAAAAGTGCTTACTGATAAATACAAACCTGTTCCATTTACTTTGACTTTTTCTCAGCACTTGACAATACCATCAATGCTAAAGTATTATAGAGTTGCTGAGAAGATACCATTTCAATCTTCCCCACTTGTTTCATATATATAAATCTCTCCCAACTAGATTGCCCTCATCTCCTGCAGAGCCTAATACTGTACTATGCATATAGTAGAACTTAATAAATGTTGCTGAAAATGAAAGATGAAATTCATATAAACACTTACTCTTCAAATTTGCTTTTAAGTAGTGATTTTACTAGAGGCAACAGATCTACACAGCAGCCAAGTGAAATGTACTGCTTTTCTTCCTGTAAACTAAAATATACATTGGTTACAAAAACCCATATATACCATGGTTTCTATTTTCTAAAAAATGATCTCTTTTTACCTGCTGGTGAGCACAGGAAGGCAATCTACCACCACTCCAAGATCTTCAATCCTACAGTATTAACAGAAGCAAAAGTTAAGTAGCTATTTTCACATTCAAGTCATCTTCACGTAAGTCAGCAAAGGTGATTAATAATTAGTTTTTCCCCAAAATCAACAGACTATCTATAATATGAAGATCTGAGTTACAGAGGTTACCAAGTCTGTTCAATATCACATAGCAAGTAAAGAAAAACTAATGACTCTTGTGCTACATTGACTCTGGACACTATTGTTCAAATTAAAATTAAATACAGGCAGTTAAAATTTTCTGGTCAGCAACATTATCATAAGCTGAAAAGCTGATTCTAGACTGCTATCCCTGAAACTAGATGCTACAGTTTAGGAACAACAAGAATAGGAAAAAATTATAATGATTTACCTCACCAAATAGGCTACCAGTTCACTTATACTTCGCTTTCTCCAAAAAGTTAAAGCTACATTCAACCTCAGATTTCTACTGAAAAGAACCTGTGCCATTGTCTCATGGTCCTGAGAAACCTGCAAGCAGAGAAACAATATTTAAAATCAGAAGGCACCAGAGATATTATTCAATCCAATGCCCCATTTTATAGATAATGAAAATGATATTTCAAGGAGTAAAGGGACTGGTCCAAGTTACTTGTTGGCAGAACCAAGACAAGAATTCAAGTCTCCTGACTCTCAAGTCCAAAGTTCTTTCCACTGTATCACAAAGCATACCTTATGACAAGCAGCAAGCTAATTTGTTAAAGGCTATATTGAAGGAAAAAAATATGCAGTAGGAAAAGAGATCCAAAGTAGTCATTCAATTAGATCAGGTCAATATAGAAAGATTTTTAACTTATACAATGCTAGTACCTTTTCCCAAAACTAAAAATCTTTATCAGTTTCGTTCATAATTTAGAGTAACATAGCATTTGAAGAAAATGAGCATCAAGCAATCTGAAACATTAATACCCTTTCCTCAACTATTACTATTCCTTCTTGTTGTATGAGGATAAGGATATAAGAAAAAATATTCTAGTAGGCCCAGCTTCTCTCCAGTGTTATGGCATCAATTTGTTTTTTTTTTTTAGGGTAAAAAAAAATTTTAAATTAAGTATGAGTAAAGCAAGATATGTTAGGCCTCTAACAATAAGGCAGTAATCAATAACCTTTGAAAACTACACAGGGGACATGGGGGCCAGAGACAGTAAGCAGTCTTTGGAAAAGAGGTTTGAATATGAAAAGGCAAAAGGAAAGGGAAGATTGTGTATAGTTTTTCACAATACAGCAGCAACTACAATTGTATTCCTCCTAAACAACCATAGTGATCCTTCAGTTTATACTCAGGTCATCAGTTATTAGAAACGATGTCACTGTGATCCCCCAAAGAACCATTACTTCTATAATGGTGATATTTAAATTCTTCTCATATTTATCACACAGATGTATAGTATCATCACACTCATTCTCTAATTCTTATGTTGGCTCATTGTTATTTCATGAAGAATTTTTTTATTGTTTTAACTTCCCAACAATCTCCCAGAAACCCTGATTCTAGTCTCCTTTCCTGTCATGACTTTTTTTCTAATAATGATTAACTTTCTGTTCCTTTAGAAACTTCTATTCATTATTTTCCAAGGAGCAAGTTGAAGAGCTTGCTACATAATTCCAATATCATTTCAAGTACCATCTGTAAAAGACCCTGTTTTACCATAATCAAGATCTCTCTAAAAATACTATATACTTGTAATCATTCTCTTAATCATCACATTCATCTTCTATCACCTATGCTACTTCAAATCAATTAAATCAATTACTACTTGGAGGACTATAGAAGTTGTTTTCTAGAAACAAAACATGAGTTTACCAAACCATTCCTCAAAGGACCACTTTGGGCTAAGCTATTCTACAGTATTACAGCCAGGGTCGCAATCAACAGCCTACCACACTACGGTGTTTAAATCTCTAGGACTCCACTGAACTAAGGGAAAGGTAAAGTATGCCAGGAGAACTGATGTTTGCATCTATATAGAACAGCTCTACTTTTTCATAAGATCTGATAGTTTCTTTCTTCCTGCCCCCTCCAACCTCTACCTGTCAGTGTGCTAGTTTGGATCCTACAAGAGACAGGTAACTGGTTAAATCTATCCTACTTATACAGAAAAGTACAAACTTTTAAAAGTAGACATAATTGTTTCAAATTTGCTTGATCTGACTATGAGAAGGCTCACCCAAGGGCACCACTCAAGAGATTCCATAGACAAAGGAAGAGAGGTACTCTGAAGACTGAAGAGAGCAATAAAAGGAAAACAGACTGAAGAGCAATAAGAGGAAAAAAATATATATATGTGTATATATGTGTGTGTGTGTGTGTGTGTGTGTGTATATAAAATCATGCTAGGTAAAAAATGAGTTTATGGAATGACTCACCTCAGTAAAAAATCCACTATATTTTGATGATGGGCTCTCTGTTTGTGAAGAGCTTGAATCGCCAGCGTTAAGTAAAAATGTACGACCTTCATGGCGTAATTTTTCAGGCAGGTGGCCTGCACAAGCCAGTTCATTTTCTTTATTTGCCATGTCACAGCCCCTGCTTCTAGGGAAGTGTTTTCTTCTGTAACAAGGATTTGGAAAATAATGATGAACTTTCTTTCTGTAATATACTTCTTTGTGCAGTTTGTCTGGACTTTTCACAGTGTATCCAACTGTTCTGTAAAAACAATTAGCTCATTTAAATAAAGAAGGAAATAAAATCTTATCTTATTCAAAATTAAAGGTCAAGGGACAATTTTGCAGTAAAGTTTTGGTCATCTGACATCCATCCAACCAAGTGCTTTATAATTGGTTGTACTTAAGTTTGAATATTTCTGATGACATAATGTCAGGCTTGAGGGAATAATACATGCCACAGAATTGGCTTAAAAGCAATCACTCTCTTTCGAAGAATGTAGAATCAAACACAGAATCAAAGAATTTGGGACACTAGGAACAGGAGAAACCCTAAGATTATAATTGTCCAACCTCACTTTACAGATAACATATTTAATACACTTTCCTGTTTTTAGCCATTCCCAGCTTTCAGAATTTATTGCTTCTCCAAAATTTCAAAGTATCTCTTACCTATTTGTATATGCAGCCAACTGTTTTGGAGATTTCTTACCCTATCAATAAAAGCAGAAAATTACTGTTACCCAAGGACAAGTATATCTAGATAAAAGTTTCTGTTAAAAGGACTGTGCCAGAATAAGGGGGTGATATCAATAAATCTACAATTCTTCACTGTTCTTAATATTTGGAGGTGACAGAAAGATTAGAATTTTATTTTTATTCAGCATTCCCTTAACTATTATTAAACTCTACACATTTTCCCACTTTTACCTAGTATCATCTTCAATGGTTCAATTGATTTCACTGGTATATGGTAATCTGTCAATCTCAGCTACTTCATTCTCATTTAGAGTGTATTTTATATTTTAGAATACACTGAGGGGCAGCTAGGTGGTGCAGTGGATAGAGCTCCAGCCTTGGAGTCAGGGGGACCTGAGTTCAAATCCAACCTCAGACACTTGACACCTACTAGCTGTGTGACCCTAGGCAAGTCACTGAACCCCAACTGCCTCACTGGAAAAAAAAATACACTGACCATATTTTTTTTCTTCCACAAGAATTTCATTATGATTTAGGAGAAACTATGCCACGGTTAACAAGCCTTAGCATTATCCATAGAGAACACCTTTTTGTACGCTAAATTATTACCCTCCTATTGTTTAAAAAGTTAACCAGAACTCACCAGGTACCACAAAAAGTTTAACATGACATGTTATCTGTTATCCATGAGAAATTTACAAAAATATTAACATACCTCCTTCATGTTCTTGTTAATGAAATGAGAGATCCTTTTCCTAGGAAGATCAATGGAATGGCCCTCAATATGCAAAAGGTTCCGTTTTCTATCATTGTGGGCTTCAGATGCCATAATCTCTTAAATCCCTGGTTGGCAAAATTTGAAAGAAATTAGTTTTGACTACACATAGTGAAATATTATCATTTCTTTAAAGACACACACACACACACACACACACACACACACACATTCTACTTCGTTCACAAAGTAAATTCTATTTTGTCATTTACAAAACCTTAAATAGTGAAGGCACATCAGGCAGACAAATCTAGAAAAGGGACTGTGAAAACCAAATCATTAGACTACTGGCAATACATGACAGCTAGCTTTAAGTTGTGTTGAAGGTCAGGGAAGCCAAGAAGTCAGAAAGACTTCCCAATGCTGCAGCTCTGGCCCTGATAGTTCTCTCTTACTTACTCATTCACTCATATTCACCAGGCTTCAACTTGGAATTTCAATCTGGTACCAGTGAAGTCATAGGTCTTATTATATGTAGTGATAAAGTAAAGTCCAGGTAACAGGGGTCTTTCCTCCTATTTGCCACCTTTTACAATAAAATCCTAAGACCCACACTTAAGCAGCCAACAGTTTTAGAGATTTCTTTCCCTATCAATAAAAGCAGTCCTGCTAAGTTATGAAAACATTCTGGCTTCAAGCTATCTCTGAATTAATTCTCCTCATACTATTCCAACCCACACTACATAATGCCGCTTGATTAATTTCCCTAATGCACAGCTCTGCCACATAGGTCACAAACCTGTAACACCCTACTACCTACCAAATAAATTCAAAACTCTTACTCTGATATTTAAAACTCAAATGTTGATTTGGCCCCAATTTGTCTCCCCAGTTATAGCTTTTCATGTACCCTACAAACTAGCCAAGCCAGACTTCATGTTTTTGATTTCCTATTTCCCCAATTCTATACCTTTGTGGACAGTATTTCCTTATTTGGGGTGCCCTCTTTTACCTTCACTATCCATCTTTCCCTAATGAAATTCTACCCAGCCTTCAAGGGCTAACTTAAATCCATCTCTTCTATGAACCCTTCTCTGATACCCTAATTGAATGTAATCTCTCAGAAGTCTCATACTTTATTTAAGTCTCTCTCATTGTACTTCCATATTCTGCTTTGTATTGTAGTTTACCTCTGCCTCGTCTCCCTTATCATGCTATATGTAGGGATCATGCTCTAATCATCACTATCCTCCCACACGGCTAGCACTGCACCAGAAACAAAGAGTACCCAATCATCACTTAGCGAACATTAACTTCCTTGCCCTTTGATTTTTCCAAATCTAAAATGTGGATTTGGAAAGTAGGGATCTATTTCACGGAGATGCTGAAATCAGTCTCTTAATCAACAAGCACTGATTATGCCCCTACTATGTGTTAAGTGCTGAGGATCCAAAGACAGAAGTGATACAGTCTCTGAGTTCAAGATGCTTTCATTCTACAGGGGCAGACAACATCTATCTAAGTAGATACAAACTAACATACTCACATTGAATAACCCCCCCCACCAAAAAAAAAAACCAACCTTGGAAGGGAAGGCAATTGCAACTGGAAGGACCAGGAAAAGCCCCCTACAAATGGTAGCACTTGAACTATGTCTTAAAGGAGACCAAGGAGATTCCAGAAGGTAGAGGAGGTAGACAGTGAGTACATTCCAGGGATGAGGCAGAGGTGGGGAGGAGAGGGGTACAGCCAATACAAAGGCAGTGACAGAGGGGAAATTATGTGAGGAAGGCCTTAGATAGTTGGATCGTAGAGGGGAGTAATGTGTTAGTGGAATGGATAGGTAGGAAGGGGTCAGGTTACAAAGAGCTTTAAATGGCAAACATGGGAGTTTATATTTGATCATCAAGCAATAAAGAGCTAATTTAGTTTACTAAAGGAAAAGGGGAGTTTTACATGATCACGATCAGGACAGACCTATGCTTTAGGAAAATCACTTTGGTGGCTGTAAAGACAGACTGAAGTGGGGAGTGGTTTGAGGCATGGAAGCTAAAGAGGAAGATATTACAATAATCCAAGTGTACATTATGAGAACCTGAACTAGAATGGTGGCCATATAGGTAGAATGAAGAAGAAATGCTGTGGCAGTAGAAAAGACAAGATTTGGCAACTGACTGGATATGTGTGACACCAAGAAGAATACCATGGTTGTGAACCTCGGTGACTGGAAGGATGATGGTGCACTACAGTAATATATAAGTGCTGGGAAGTTGGGGAGAAGGCAGCAAATTTTATTTTTAATATATTGAATTTGAGATGCATATAGTACATTGTTTGAAATGCAAGTTTAATGCATTTAACTTGAACAGCAGTTTGTGATATAAGACTATAGTTAAGCAAAGGCATCTTCATATTTGAGCTGAAGAAGCTGGTTCAATTTTACCATTTAAAAACATTAAATAGTTACTATTTTTAAAATTGTACTAACATTTGACCTATTCTCAAAAGTGGCTCTTTGAATACTTATGGATTTAACTACCACTCATACAACCTTGCTTATAAATTAATCTTTTGATTTTCAGTGTCTTGAACATAGTAGGTACTTAATTAACATTTATTCAATTGGAGTTCAAAGATTAGAAATGCATTAATAAGAGTTTAGGTTAAACAAACAAACTCTAATTTGTAAAAGAGCTGAAAAATACAACTAAACCTAAATGGTAACTTTCATTTAACTCAAGTCTATCTCTTTAACAAAAGGAATCACATTTAGGATAAAAAAAATTAGAACTGAAAAGGATTTTTAAGTTCATCTAGTCCAGCTCCCTCATTTTACAGATGAGGAAACTGAGGGCCAAAGGAGTTACACAGTTTTCCTAAAGTCCTTAGGTATTAAGTAGCAGAGCTAGGATTCAAACCCAGGTGCCCAGGTTCTCCGACTCCAAATTCAAGAATTTTTCCACTATAGTACACTGCCTCTATCAATTTATGAGGTGTGGAAGTCCATAGAGAGATGGTATTTACTTGAACATATTTCAACAAATCTTTGTCATCTAACTTGCTCCCATAATATGTCTGAAGAATGCCTGGTACATGCTCAAAACCTGCACACCTCATAAATTGACAGACTGCCAACAAGTTTGATTTCCCAGCACTTAAATTAAATTGGTTCAAAATTTTGGCCTAAACCTTTCAGATCAACATTTTCCCCAAAACTAGTTTGTTCAAGGAACAATTTTAAGCTTGAAATATACTGATGGAACCCAAAAATGCTAGATTCAATCAGTATGAGGGGTTGGGAAAAGAAGGTGGGAAACAGGATATTTCAGAGCAAAATATAAGCAAAATTACATTTTAATAAATAGTCATATTATACAGGGAATAATCTTGAAATTCTCACAAAATCCTAAGTCAACCCACAAAAAGACAAAGTTTGTATGGAACAGCTTAAAACACCAATCTACACAATTTCTAGTATGCCCTTCAGTTGCTTATATAGAATTATAACTACAAGGGATTGAAAAGGCTATGTAGTCTAACCGCTTCATGTTATAGATGAGAAAACTGAGGCTCTGAGGGGCTTAGTCATTTGCCCTAGTCACATGGCTATTAAGTGTCAGAGGGAGAATTTGAACAAAAATCTTTCTGACTTCTAGTCCGAGTGCTAGTCCCCACTACTCCACAGTGCCTCTCATTAACCTACAATTTCTTTTATGGCCACTGTATTATTAGTTTTATTTAAATGCTTTACTTTGTTATGAGAAATTTATCACAAAGTAGTAATTTGCAAATAAAAAATACATAATACTTTAAAAAAATTTTATAGACCACTGATATATAGATAGATCAAAATGAAATCACTCAGTCCAAAACAAAAGCCTCCTTTTTACCTGGAACAGCTTATCCCCCACGAATGTTTGTCAGTCTTTTAAGCAAATCAGTTTTAGATTAAAAGCCAACCAGACTAATTTTCTTGAGATAGAACTTGCTGACTATACCCTTTCACTTTTGCCTTGGTACCTACCTCTGGCCTTAGCACAGTAGCTGATATATACTCAAACAGATCCATGATTTCATTAACTTGGAAGCTCCCTCCAGTGATACAAACTGCAACCCACCCATGCATGCTCATCCCATGCAGTTCAGGATGATGTTCTCCGCTAGAAAAATCTGCCATAGGAAGTCTAACCAACGTGGGAGGCAGGATAGGCAGGGCCTCTTTTCGAACGGCCCTATAGCTAAGAATTGTGATCGTATTGAAAAATGTAAAAACCATTCTTAGTTTGCCACAGGCCCTCGTTTGCTAACCCTTATCTCGAGGCTTTCCTTACTTTCTCCTGTCACCACAAGTGTTATCCGCATAACATTTTGGCCGTCCACCTGTCAGCCCTCCCTTTTATCATGTGTGACCAGTCCATCATCCCTTCCCAACATGTAATTCCTTAATGACATCTTTTACACCAGTTCTTCACATTTCACAATTATTTATATCCTGTAGCCTGCTCACACACACTATTGGTACTTTCTATTGCCCTTTATAGGTGGTACAGTGGAAAGAGTGCCAGACCTGCCAGTCAGAAGACTATTCTTCCTGAGTTCAAATCTGGCCTCAGACACTTATTAGCTGTATGATCCTGGGCAAATCACTTAACCCTATTTGCCTCAGTTTCCTCATCTGTAAAATGACCTGGAGTAAGAAATGACAAACCAATCCAGTATCCTGGCCAAGAAAACCCTGAAAGAGATCACAAAAAGCTGGACATGACAGAAAAACGACTAAACAACAACACTGTCCTTTATGTGATATTAACTTTTAATTCTTTGAAGACTGTTTTATTCCATATCTCTGCCATACAGCAACAAACTTCAAAGTTTTGATTCAGCCAAAGGGCCACACTTGAGGACCTATAAGGCCACATGTGGCTCCCCACCCCTGGTAGAGATTAGAAATGGAGCACTGTGTGCACAGCCTGGAGCAGGCTAGCAGTAAGTGGACCACAAAGTGTAAGCAGTAGTGTCAAGTATAAGAAGACTTAAAAGTTAGGACAGGACCAAGCTGTGAAGAACTTTAAAAGTCAAACTGAGGAATTTATATTGGCCCACTGGGGCAAAAGGGAGCCACTAGAGT